TCGGGTGTTCTCTACCGTCGTGCAAACATGGCTGGGCTGCTTCCGGCCAGGACCCTCGAGAACAGACGCTCTCACCCTGGCCCGTGGAGAGCCCAGAATTCCCTGTTTGCTGAGAGCTTTCTGTGGGGGAATGTCTCCGTCCCAGCCCTTACCTGTGCTGTGTGCCTGGAAACCCCCCTCCCTGGGGTGAGTCTCAGAAGTGTTCACCAGCAAACGTGCCCCTCTCCCTGCACTCTGGGCGAGGTACTAGCAGGCAAGTTATTTTACACATGGGTAAACTGAGGCACGGAATGGTTGCGTGATTGGCCGGAGGCCCCACAAGAAGCCTGGCTCAGCCAGGAAGAGAGCCCGGGGTCTTGCGCCCCAGGCCTCTCTGTCCACTAGAGACCCTTGAAACTTAAAGGAACAGTTTCCAGGCCTGTCCGACCCAGGGTTAAAGCAGTGGTTTGGGCAGGACCCTCCTCTGGCCTCCTCCCTGGGGTCTGTTCTCTCCTACTGGCGCTGAAACACACTCCTGCAGATCCGCTCTGGAGATCTCACAGTGGCTGGGAACTAAGGGTCACCACATGAAGTGGAAAGTTTTTCCCAAAACAAAAGGAAGTTTTTTCTTCATGCAGCGCAGAGTCAACCTGTGGAACTCCTCGCCAGAGGATGTTGTGAAGGCCAGGATTTTAATGGGGTTCAAAAAAGAGCTAGATAGATTCATGGAGGTTAGGTCCTTCAATACTTATTAGTCGGGATGGGCAGGAATGGTGACCCTGGCCTCTGATTGTCAGAAGCTGAGAGTGGCTGACAGGAGAGGGATCACTTGTTGATTCCCTGTTCTGTTCACTCCCTCTGGGGCACCTGGCATTGGCCACAGGGCTAGATGGACCTTTGGTCTGACCAAATATGACCGTTCTTATGCAGGAGGAGGTTTTGTCGTCCCCCTGGGCGAGTTCAGGAGAACACGGTTTATTGTTAATCCTTCTGGTCTCTTTTCTGATCAGTGTGTCTGTTTCCACCTCTCTGGACAGCTCTCGGGGAGGGGAGGAAGTCCCCACAGGTGAGGGGGGAGGGACGGAGGTTGCCCTGGTGACCGGGTTTCTTCCTCCTCCCGTCTCCTAGCGCCAGCGGTGCGGAATCCTTGGACCGGCAGTTCAGGAGAACACGGTTTATTGTTAATCCTTCTGGTCTCTTTTCTGATCAGTGTGTCTGTTTCCACCTCTCTGGACAGCTCTCGGGGAGGGGAGGAAGTCCCCACAGGTGAGGGGGGAGGGACGGAGGTTGCCCTGGTGACCGGGTTTCTTCCTCCTCCCGTCTCCTAGCGCCAGCGGTGCGGAATCCTTGGACCGGCTGTACCCCGCAGTGGGAGCTCCGAGGCCGCCCCGGAAACGGACCACCAGCCAGTGCAAATCAGAGCCGCCCCTGCTGCGCACGAGCAAAAGGACGATCTACACGGCCGGGCGGCCGCCCTGGTACAACGAGCACGGGACACAGTCCAAAGAGGCCTTTGTCATCGGTATGGGAGTGTCTGGGGCGGGATGTCGGGCGCTGGGTCTTGGTGCTGCAGGGGGGGAAGGTGGCTTCCCTGCCTGTCCTGGCACCGCAGACTGTGCTGGGCCCCGGAAGTGGCCGGCAACAGGCCCAGCTCCAAGGTGAGGGGAGGGGAGCACGCACTGGACTCCACGCACTGCCCCGAGCACTAGCCCTGCACTCCCATTAGCTGGGAACATGCTGCCCGCTGCTTCTGGGCGCAG